CTAACAGAGAGTCTCGTACATTAGCCGACACTCAATAAGACTTGTTGAATGAATATACGGCTGTTTTTAACAGATTTGCACTACCCTGATAACACCAACACATTAACAGTTAACTATTTTGTCCAAAGCTTCAACAGTAAAACTGTACATAAGAAGTTAGAATTTTGGCTGCCATAGAATAACATAGAGGCAATAAAGTGTAGCAGTTAAGCATGGAGACTCTGGAGCCATATTGATTGGGTTCTACTCCTGGCTCCACCAATGGGAGACCTTGAGCCAGATTAAGCTTTCTGTGCATCGTTTCTCATCAGTAAAACGGGAACAATAATAACCTAACTCTTACTTGTGAAGATTAAACAAGTTAATACATGCAAAGTATTTAGAATGGGATCTAAACTGTTCTACAAATGAATACACTATAAGTTTCCTTTGATTATTTTCATTATTATGATTATTATTTATGGAACATGCCTCACAGGCAAAAGCTGCCAATCATGCAGCAGCTCATCCTTCAATGAAATGCACAGTATACTTTCCAATGAGGGAGTTTTGGGTTTGCATTGCTAGAATTTTACCTTTTTTTGAAAATACGATTGAATGACCCGAAAATAAATATTATCTATAATTTCACAAAAGGAAGGCAAAAGGATTTCCTTACAAATTAGTCTACATATGTGTTTGATGTAAGCGGTTAGTTTTTAAAATCTCAGAAACCACCAGGATATCCCGAATGCATAATATATTTGATTTGCAACTTGGATGAGGATTTGTAAAATTATTTTCTAAACACAGAGTAACTCTGTTTGAAGAAGGTAATGTGCATAGTTTATCCAGGCTAGTATACAGGATATATTTAGCCCCAATGAAATGTGACCTAGATACATTAATGTAACAGAGTAGTTTTGGAATTATTTGTTTATAAGGCTAGTTACTCCCACTTTCCAGCTGTTTCTTCTTTCAGAATCTTGGAACCTAGTGGACATATTAGAACCATCCATCGAAATTCAACTTACAGGGGAAAATGGAACTTGACACATCGTGGTTTTGACTTGAGAATTACCAAATGGTTATTTGTTCCAGTTTTGTTGTTGTTGTTGTTTGAATGATAATGTGGTGAATATGTGAGAACAGACTTGCAATCCAAGCATATTTCAAAATTAGTAAAGCATTCTGGGGAAAAGCACAGGATAGTATTTAATTCTGTGAGAACAGCATAATCTCTGCTTTAGTTCCTAATTTTCCATGAATTTATTTCCTCATTTGAATGAATGACTCACATAAGAAATTATGTAAAGTGTACATAAATTAATTATATGGAATACATGCTGATATTTTAAAATTTGCAAATACACTGAGATGCTATTCTTGTTGAAGTAATTCTGGCACTTCTCTTCAAAGTATATAAAAATCACTGAGATCAAATTATGTGGTAGTGAGACTAAAAGCATTCTGTAGAAATGTTATATAAATGCTATTCCCATTAAAATCTTTAGGCCTATTTTTATTAGTTCAGATATCTATCTTTCTAGAGATAAATATCTGTTTATCTGTATGCGTGTGTATATATAATATATATACGTATACATTATTTATACTTATACACATATTATCTTATAGAACTTAAAGATTCATGAAGTCCTCTAGGGCATATAGAGTAGTAGTTCCCCAGAGCAGTAGAGCCATGTCTTTAAATAGCTGGGGCCTAAAAAGGGAAGCTTTACAAAATATCTGTTCAAAAACATGAACAGTTTTGTAATGAATTTTAAAACTGTACAATATTGTGAGATATCAGGAAAGAAAAATCAGACAAAACCAAGATCCTGCAATTCTTCATCTTTCTTTTCTTCTTGGGCTCATGATGAAATTTCCTTAGGAACTTGAGAATTGGAGATGGGAAATATAGAAGAGGTGATCTCCCAAATCCAATTTGCAGAAGAATAATTCAAATAAGTTCAAACAGAAGGTTTCCTACTGCCCTAGCCTGGGCAGGAATGGATTTACTGGCAACACATGGGTTGTCAATTCTTCTACAGCACTGGTTGCCTTAGGACATGCTCCAAAAGGAGTGGGTAGGAAGAGCTTAGTCACGACCTACACAGGCTGGCTCTCGAATGACAGGCAGTTCGCTGCACTCCATCACAGAGAGAAGAGAAGAAAATGAGGCTAAATCTGTCAGATGTTTGGGGAAGCTGTACAATACTAGAGGAAATCTGGCTGCATTAGTAACAGAGGGAAGTATCAGTATAGTTATAGCAATAAAAGTAGAGGTCCACTGCCTGCAATCAGCTTTTCTGATTTCCATTTCCTTTAATGTGCTTTGAAGTTTAAATCACAGCTATCCAACTTCAATAAAACTGCAAAGCATTTTGTGGGGAAGAACTAAAAATCATGGTTTTATAATGATTTTTTTAAATCTAGTTTTTTTTTTATTTTTTTAAAGATTTTATTTATTCATTTTCTTCCCCCCAAAGCCCCAGCAGATAGTTGTATGTCATAGGTTCACATCCTTCTAGTTGCTGTACGTGGGACTCGGCCTCGCGCTGGA